TACTTCTTATGTACTGTTTATGATTTATGCAAATTATCCTATTGATTTGTATGCACAATGCTAATATTTTATATGCTATTACATGTACATACATACATATACATTAATGTATGCATTGATACTTTTAACAACTTCTGAGATTATTTATTATTATCATATGGCATTTAATTATCATAACAGTTCCATGAAGCAAACAGGGCAAATTTTCTTATGCTTATTTTAAGGATAAGAAAATAAAATTCCACAGGATTAAGAGATTTATCCAAAAATTACATGAATTCTACATGGTGAGAGTTGGGCTGAAACATTATTCTCTGCAAAATAATTAAGCGTCTCATTTTGTAAGTGATAGTGTTCAGTGGTAGAAGAGAAAACAATCAAGATTGTATGAGAGAGAAAGCTGTTTATGTACAGTAATTATCAACATCTTTTTATAACCCATTCCAACTTAACTACAAGTATTGGAATTTTTTTCTATATATAAATATTTACTCATAGCCTTATTTATATGCTTACTACAGGCATATCATAATATTGAATACTTTTTAAAATAGCATACTGGGGACAAATGTGTATGAAATTACTCATAATTGAAAACCTAATGATTACAAAGTGTACATTGAAATTGTAATATCTAAATTAAGTAATAATGTTTTCCATCTTTAGCTGGGGAAGAATAGAATTGAAATTAATTAAAAATGTGGAACATTAAGTAAGAAATAAATGGAAACATTCTAATTTATATTTAAAATATCAGAATTGTGATTTCATTTCTTTAGCATCTACTATTAAAAGAACGTCATTAAAAAAGAGAGAATTAGGTTGTTATTCTACCACTAGGTAAAAATTAACATAACTTTTGTCATTGTTTTTATATACTTACTTACATTTGTCCTTCCATCTTAAAAAAAAAAAAAAGTACTTTGCGGCTATTGGATAATTGACATTTTTAAATGAGTTTAAAAGTCTAATTTTGGTTTAGTTTGCAAAAGCCAGAACATTCACAGAAGTTTTCTAATTTTCAACCAACAATCCTGCTTTTGAGAAAAAAAAAAAAAAATCCCAGAAAGTTTGTGTCTAAATTAAACAGGTCAGCAGTTGATCTTAATTTAATTTACTAAACAATTTCATTTAGCAGTTCAGAGACTTGGGCTTCTTCCATGAAAGTGTAGCCATGTGGAGGATTCTACCATGTGATCTAATTTATCTCTGTCCTCCTTTATTGCTAAAGTGTATTGCAAGGACCCAGAAATACCTATTTGTCACAAACCCACCGTTGAAGCAATATATGGCAAATCATTATAGAGTTTAGTGTTTCATAATTAATTTGCTGTATTGCATTGTTTAAAAAGAAAAAAAAAAAAACCAGCTTTTTCAATATAAAAGCAACGTATTTCAAAGCCTTAGGCTTACTTAGTTTCCAGGTCAAACTTTTTTCAAATTCGACACAAATTTCTGAATTTTCATTCCTGTGGTCAGATAGTTCCACTGTGCTATACACTTCAGGGTCTGGTGTGCTCAGAAGCACACAGATTTCTGGTTAACTGCAAGAATCAGGAAATGCACTTTTGTATTAGGAAGTGACCCCTAAGTTGCAAATTGTGAAACAGATATATATATGTGGTAATAAAATTTTCCCCACCACCTATTCTCATCCTGCAATGTAGAAGAAAGGGTCTAGAAACACAGTGTAAATGAAAAATAACTTTTAAGTGTGTCTACAATGTCCACAGTAAAAATAATAATAATAAGATTTGAACATGCTACAGAATGTTTCTAGAATGTGTATTTATTTATAAAGCTAAATTATTTGATAATGATATTTGGTAAATATTTCGGCATTATTTTATTCTCTGGATATGTTTTTAGAAATGTGAAGATATAAGTGCTCTATTGTAGTTATTTTCCAAGTAGGATTTATTTTATTGCAATAGAAGTATACCTTATTTCTCAAAATAATGCTATGATAACATTAATGTTTTACAGCTGCATTGAGTCAATTCATAGACTTATCAAGTAATAGAAATAACACATATCTCTCTTCTCAAATGATTTGTATATATGACTAATAATTTTGTTCTTAATAAGATCATAGGCAACATCAAAATGTAACTATTCAACTTGTCAGACTGTTGGTTCCTAGGTATAACAGTTATTTTTTTTTATTTTCAATTATTTTCAATGTATAAAATACGAAAATATAATTTGAGAATGGAAATGTCAGAACTAAGCACCATCTATTAATTTGTTATGAAAATATAACTTGCGAATATAAATTCCAGAACTAAGCACCATCAATTAATTTGTTGATACCTATTCATTATGATGGAATTAAATTTCAAAATCATATTATTAGAGTAAAAACTGATCTATGAATAATCTTTATAATTAAAAATTAAAGTAAGGTACTCTTTATATAATTACACAGAACATCAGTTTTGTAATATATTTAATTCTGTATACATTTTTTCTTCAAAAGATATTCAGATTTTACCAGAACTTACTTACATAAATGAATAAGATTGTATTTCAGACTTTAATGGAACATTATTTGTGTAATTTTTCTATTTTCCATGTCATATACTTACCCACCTTCTAATTTTATTGATTACACAGTTTTGAAAGGTTATTTTTCTTCTACATTAAGACAGTAAAGTTTAGAAATAAGCATTATGTACTGAACTGATCATCTATTCAAATAGGACATTTGCCAGAATTAGCCAACAACCTGTTAACTCTTTCTTCTCCCCGTTTTTTGTGAGAATGCAAGCATTATTTACAAGTGATGCAATTCCTCTTACACTTAAAAATATACCCTTACATTGTAGTGAGTAGAAAAAACTTATAAAATACTAAAATATTTCCCAATAGTTCTGGCAACATTTGACACCAGTGATCTATATCCTATATTAACATGGTAATACCTCAACCTTATTCCCAATACTCTATTTCCTAAAATATTTTCTTCTGCTTTAATTTTTGACATATGAAAAATAGCTATAAAATAACTGGAGAAACATACTATATTGATTTTTAATTGGAAGTAAAATTAGGATTTATAATTTAACTCCGTTATGAAATGCACACCAAACACATTCAAATTTTTATGTAACACATAATTTGCTCAGAAGCATCAAAAATAGATGACATGAATTAGAATATGAATTATTAGATAATATGTGGAATTAGAAAAAGTGTATCTGTTAAATTACAAATAAGTTGTTTTAATATCAAATAAGTATATATTTAAAAATTAGAAGTAAATTAATTGCTCAGCTAAAATATGTTTAATGTGCTGTAACACCATGGACACACCTTTATTTATTACAGATAATAAAACTATAGTGCTAAACTAATCAAATTCAAATCAATTTAGCCAAATATATTTCAGCGAAACAGTGTTTAAGAAATGCAAAATATGCTAAAGAATGAAAAACTAATTGCCTTATAATCAAAAGCAATCAGTTTTAAACTTCTACCCAATAGGTAGATGATAAATTTTTCATTTCTCAGTTGTGTTTTTAGCAGGAAGTTGTCAAAAATGTTTGACATCTCTTAAACTTGCATCTAATTTGTCTGTGTTTATGAACCTAATGTTGATATGTAATACCACAGTACAGGAAGAGGAGGGTGGCTACAGTTCTGTTAAAATATGTATACATCAGGATTTGCAAATACCATGCATGGTGTGAAAGGATGCTTGTTTTCCAAAAGGAAATGGGCACTATCTTTTCCTCAGTTCTTGTTGTTGTTTTTCTCTTATGTCAAAGGATTCCCAACCAAATTTGAGACAATAAGGAATATTGTTAATTAATTTTTCCAGTATTTGGATATATTAGAATGAATAACAATGGATAAATATAATGCTGCTGTATCCAAAAGGCCACAAAATTAAGAAGTCATTTTTTCTCATAAATTCAAAAATCTCAACCTTCCATTGATACTATGTTTTCAGTAATTTTATAAAACTTCTACCCAAGGAAGGGTATTGAATTAAAACATCTAATCTGCTTGTACTTTAAAAATGCTTTTATATAAGAAAAGTAGAACAATCAGTAAGTGTGGTGTTACAATTCAGAAAACAATTGAAATACAAAGTTTAAGCCTTTCTGGTGTATTAAACCAAGTTTCACCTTTGACTGGTTTGACCTGGTGATTTCTGTTTTAACCCTGTTTTGATCTTCAATTTCAAGGCAGCAAGAGTCAAGCCACATAGATTAATTCTTTCCAAACTTTTGATTTTTCTTTCATTTTTACACGAGGGTAGATTTTTGATTATCGATGTGCGCTCTTTACTCCCTAGCTGATAATGTGAGATACTATAAGAATCTCAGGGGTTTTTAATAATAGTTGAGGTTTCATTAAACTTAGTTCTCAAGTGACACCTTAAAGTTTATTCATCAAATAACTCAGGGTGTAAAAGTAGCACATAAACATTAATCGAACCGTCATTAAGCAGGATAACTGTTTTCAATTAGTAGAGGACATTTAGCTCCATACCGTGTGGTGGAAAACAATTAGGTCTTATGATACACGTGCTGTCAAGGATCCTACTACCAGACTTGACCAGCTACACTTTACAAAATAGCAGTCAGCTGTAGTCAGAAGCATGCCCAAGTCATAGGAAGTCATATTTTTACTGCCATGTCCTCGCTGCTCATAAATATTGTTATGTGCCTCATGCCTTATGCTAATGGCAATGACTAATGTTTGTCATTATCTTCACTCCATCTTAGTTTAGAAAACCCCTCAGGAGAGACTGATCATGGCTAGGATGCTGCTTAAAGTGAAAGTGGTTTTCTAAAACACGTAATATAAAAAGCACTTAAATACAAAAGGTTGGATGGATAATTTATTTTGTTTTGGTTATGCTTGACAGTCGCTACTGTTATTAAATTTGCCATGAGACTGATTGACATCCTATATGAGAATGCCTTCTAGATGCTGGTATGTGTGATTGCACAATGCTTTAAAGTTGTTCTGCTCATCTGGGACTGTAGGTGAAGATGTATGGTACAAAAATGAAAAGCTGGAATAAATCCAAGACTGGCTGTTTGGAGGTTTCATTTTTTAACAGCGGAGGTGAGTCCTTTCATCCGTTTGTGATTTCATTTATGAACTCTGCTTACAACACAGGTATAGAACACTTCATTATGGGCCCAAACATATATGTTTAAATGGATAAAGTAGCTGTTACATCAGATGGAGGCTAAGTGGGGACATTAAATTAATGTCAAACAAGGAGAAACTCTTTTAGTTTTATTCTACATTGTAGCAGCATAGTGATAATGTGCTGATTTTCATATGCACACAATTTCTGTATGTCTTATATCACCAGAACGTGAGGTTATGAATTCCTGTATTACAAAGTAAAAATAAAAGCAATAATAAACTAATAAGGAAATATATTTTGTTCAGAGAATGTGATGAATGTTCGCACTGTTTTTCATAATGAGGAGGATGGGGGACAAAAAGTTTCTGTGAAGAAATGTCATCCACCATACATGATGGCTTTTTATTGAGTCTTTGTCTAAAGTGTTACTGTAGTCATCCTGCCAAGTATCACCTTTTTTCATTAGAGGAGAAGTTCAATTTCACGGGATAGGGCCAAGATATAGGGACTTCCAAAAAATCTTCGTAGAATGAAATGTGATGGAATGGAGTAGGGTAGAACAGAACCCAGTAGAATAGGACTGCAATTATTTGTTCCTCCCTTTAATTCTAATTTGTTCTAAAACACAAGGAGAAATAAATGTGTGGCTGGATGGTCAGCGATATAGATGATTTGGAAGATAAGCTTCCATTTTCTTCCTTATATATTCTTGTATTTTAAAACAGGGAGTGTAAATTACAGTTATGTTTGCTGAACGAGATAGGAAATTGTGTAAGATACATTTCAGAAATTTTTTTCTTAAAAGAACTTAAGTAATTTTTTTTTAATGAAGATACATTTCCCAGGACTTGATATTCAGAAAGACCTTAGGGAAGAGTTGAGAACGGTTATGGATACTATAGAAACACTGTGCCTCCTTCTATTTTATCTCAGAGCAGTTTGGAGGAAAACAGAATCTTATCTTTATGACCGTCTTGAATCTGATCCATACTTAACATCTTTCCCAATTCTTTTCAGAGTTCCATGTAAATTCTCCCATACAATGTAACACTGTCTTTGGAATTCACTGTCAGTTACAAACTACACTGTAGATAAAGTGGCCACCGTAGATAAAGTCCCGGTTTATGCCTGTTGTTTTAGGATCATTATCATTAGCACTACCTTTTACCCTCAGACGTGTCCCAGTAGGGATGACAAATTATGGTAGCCTTATCTATAACTAATAATAGCATGTCAATAATGATAACCAATAGCCCTACTGGAAGCTTGCTATTTGTCAGAGACTTTGAGTGCTTTCATGTATAATGAATTCTTCATAATAACCCAATGAGGCAAGTATTTTATTTCCCCCATTTTACAGTAGAAGAAACAAAGAGTTAGAGAGGTTAACTAGCATGACCTGCTCACATAATAGGCCCAACCTTAAATCAGACAAAGATCTGACTTTATAACATCATGTGCCAGAAGATGGTTATGCTATCTTCTTATTTGCTTGCTGATAGAATTAGCTTTGCTTTTTTTAATATACTCAAAGATTATCAATAGTTTTCATTTACTATTCTTCCTAGATTCTACAACTATATTTTTATAAGGACTGTGGATTTTAAGATGCAAGAAAAGAGCACTGAAGTGAACTAAAATTCATCTGGGTTTTAGTTCAGGATATTAATTTTACTATATTAATAAAAATAACTGTGATTTGTTGAATGACTAGTATACGCAAGATTGGGACTTTCCCTTTGTTGTATCACTGACGCCAAAAACAGCAGTGCAAGGCAGAACATTTGAACCCCATGAATGTGTATGATTGCTTTAGCTGTTAGCCCTAAATTGGTTCATAGGTTACAATGAAGCTTGGGGCATTAAATAGTTTCAGCAGGCCTCTCCAAGCTCTGACATTCTTATCCCTAGCTGCCTCTAGGAGTACTTGATTATCAGGATATAAGATACAGAATCTGGATGCAAGGAAAAATTCTTGGGGACAAAGGGACTTCCTCAGCACCTCATGTTTATATTAACTACTGTGCATTGAGTGCTTAATAAGGGCATGTACTTTACATATTTTTGTAAACATATTTTCTTCTATTTTCCTCCTTACCATAGGTCAAAAAAGAAGATAATTTGGATTTGAACCAATGTAAGTTTAGCTTCACTATGCTAGAGAGATCATCTATCTCTGAAACTCTCTGTAGATTACCATCATTCAGGAACTTTTCTGAAAAGCAGTATTAAAGATGAATAAATAATATTTACTGATAATCAAATTTGTTCCACAACTGTATAAAGAATATAAAAACAGATATAATAGTGTATAGAGATTGTTGAAATTCCTTGTCATATTTTCAAATAAAAAGTGTGGAAATTTTTACTAGTGCAGAGTAAGTTCTGTATGCTGCAAAGAACAAGGTAAATGTAAATCTGTGCCTATACTCAAAAGATGATTACAATTCACTTGGGAATACAAGAATGTAAATCCACAAATGTGGATTGTGTACTATTATAAAATGCCAAATTGTATAGTGTTATTTGAACAGTGGTTCTTAACCACATATGCATATCAGCATGATGCATGGTGTGTTTTAAAACTACAGATGTCAGGACCCTACTGCATTGACTAAGTAAGTTTTTGAGGTTAGAACCTGGAAATATGTGTTTTTAAAATTCCATGGATGATTTTGAGGTGTACTATGGATAACAACCACTGGATTAAAATATATGTGTAACATATTAATGTGTTAATTATGCAGATTTTAAGAGTTAATTTTGGCTGGGATATAAAAAGATGGCTTTGTAGAAGAGACAGGATTTGAATGCAAGGTCAGATGTGGACAGAAGGTAAAAGAAACATTTATTTCTTTTTCTTATTTAGCCCAAAATAAAATTTTATCTTTAAGGTTTTTATCTGCATTTCAGATTCCCAATTGGATTGGGCTGGAATAGAAAATAAAACATAAAACAATAAATACCTGGAAATGTTCAATTATTTTCTAATATATCTATGATATGGCTATATGCAAATCAGGTTTGAAAACTTGCCTGAAAACTTGTATATTATTATATTTATATTAATATCAATAAAGAAATCTAATCATGGCTAATAAATACAATTTAGGCCACAAACTACCAAAGGGCAGGATTCATGCTTTATTCAAATTTGAATTCTTAGATATTTAGCATAGTGGACTAGCCTATGCATAATATATATTTGTTTGTTGAATGAATTAGATATTTGGCTTTATTTGCTTTATTTATCCCACCTTGTGGGGCAAATTTCATTGGTCTCCATTTGAACTCTTAAGAACTTTTGCTATGAAGGTTTTGGTTTATTCATCTATTTGTTTCTTGACCCAGAACTAATGTTCTGACGAAGACTCACAATCATTAGCTTATAGAAGAAAACTTTTAGGTTTTTTCTTTCCAAGAAAAAGACTGAAGGGAAGGAAAGACAGGTGGAAAAGGCAAACGAGAGTTGCAGGAGAGTTCCTTTTTAACAACAGGAGAGTTCTCCTTCTAAGTTTATGCCCAGAACAGCTGGGAAACCACTTTTCTCAGACCAGTCCTTCCACAGGGAGCACTGAAGTCACCAGACCCGCCTATGATCAGGAAAAAGACTCCTAAAACTTTCACAAGCTCTATCTACTAACCAATTTTTTTATTAGGACACATTTGTTTTGTCACTGTTTTGGTTTGTGGTGTTAATGGAGCTTTAAAGGCACAGTAAGAAGATCACAAAAGCTCTTTTTCTTATGTTGCATTATGTCTTCCCAGCACCAGTCAAGCCAGGGTTCTTTTGCTTTTTGGTTGTTGTTGTGGAAACGATGTCAGATGTTCATATTTTCCCAGTGGAATTTTACAATACTTTTGGAAACAGTTTCGTAGGGTGAAAATAAGAAGAAAGAATGAAAACAAAACACAGATGGGAAAAAAGTACGGTGAGTTGATGACAGAAAGCTTTGATTTTCATGGTTCTACTTTTGAAAATAAGGGTAAAAGTCGAGGGTGTCATACAGTGCTTAGCTGTGGACATCCATGTGCAAAAATATTTTCAGTGTGAGATGACTTTGATAATGATGACAACCTCTTATTTTGGTATTGGGAAAGGGGCAGGTAAGATCCGGAGGATGGAGCTTGGGCAGAAGCTGTTGTTACAGGACAGGATTCCTGTAATCTGCTGTCTCTATGGGCCATCTTTTGAGTAGTTGCACTTTTTCAGCTTCCCCACCCCTTTCTCCAGGTGCTATGTGATTGCTTCACCCTAGACAAGCCTCTTTTTCCTCAAGGGAAAACAAATCCAGAATAAACATGATTACATAATTCTTTATAAGCAATGATTGAATAAGAACTTATCTAAAACAGTTTAATTCATACTGGGTGGCATAAAACAGCTGAAAATCAAATGAATTTCTGTTTTAGGAATGTTTCAAAAGTGGACCATCACATGCATGGTATATACGTCATCTTGAATACAACAGTAATTTCAATCAGTCAGTGATGTGCTGGCACCGGAGCATATAAGCTCAGAGGATCCAAACATGTGCATCTCTTCTCAACTGAACTGCAATGACTTCATTTTGGTAGCTTGAAGTAGACCCTGGTGTGTCTACTTATACCACAGAAATTGGGGAATGTTACAAATCTGGACTTTTTAATTCTTTTGCAGAGAGCCAGTTTACCAGCACACCACTGAGTTACGTGCACATTTTAGAAGTAAAAAGAGACCCAATATAAATATATGTCTCTGTAATTAGGGATGTTACTTGCTGAGTAAATATTTAAAGAAGACACTGTTTAAGAGACACAGTATTTTGTTAGACTGTCTAGGCTCAAATCTGTTATTAGTTGTCACTTAACTTCTCTGTCCTTTTGTCTTCTTATCCTTAAAATGAGAACTTCATATGATTTTTCTGATGATGAAATGAGTTAATATATATGATACACTCAAAAAAGTGCCTTGCAGAGAAGGTTCTCAATAAGTATATTCTTTTAGTAGCAACAAGACATGAGGCTATATGGTTTTTACAATCTTCTCTTAAAAGACTGCCTAAATTCAGTGTTATTTTCCTTGTTGAGCTTTTATATCTCAGAAGCCCATACTCAATTTCCACAAGTTTTGTAAAGATCTGTTAAATGAAAGCACATCAAATCACTCTGAAATGCATAAAGCACTATGTAAATGAAAGGTGGAATAATTATGTTAAAGACATCATCTTGAATTTTGTTTATACTGCATCTCTGAAACGAGCATCAGATTTCTCTCTAGGCAGTTACTGCTCCTACAGAAACAAACACAGATGGTGCCCAAACTTCCTACTGAATACTTTGAGGCAATGGCGTTTATCAAAATACATCCGGTCACTAAATGTACAAAAACTTCAAACAAACTCCACATCTCAGTGTCAGGCCAACATGGTTATTTAGGCAAATAAGCCTTTCTTTGATAATTCAAGGATTTTCTGATGTGTGAAATGGACTATTTCAACAAATAAAAAAATCTTACATGTAGGCTAAGTTTTATTAAACAGGATATTAACATAGCAATTTCTTTTAGAGAAAAACAAATCAGTTTGTCTTCTGTGATGAGCATTTCTAATTAAATTTAAAGTAATGTTTTCGTTGTGCATGGACACATTCCCTTTTCCCATTGACCTTCTAGTCACATAAAGCAGAAAAAATATATGTTTTAAAAATATGTATTTAGGCAAGGCACGGTGGCTCACGCCTGTAATCCCAACACTTTGGGAGACCAAGGCAGGTGGATCACCTGAGGTCAGGAGTTCGAGACCAGCCTGACTAACATGGTGAAACCCTGTCTCTACTAAAAATACAAAAAATTAGCCGGATGTGGTGGCACATGCCTGTAATCCCAGCTACTTGGGAGGCTGAGGCAGGAGTATCACTTGAACTAGGAGGTGGAGGTAGCAGGGAGCCGAGCTTGCACCACTGCTCTCCAGCCTAGGCGACAGAGTGCAAAACTCCATCTCAAAAAATACGTGTGTGTGTGTGTGTGTGTGTGTGTGTGTGTGTGTGTGTGTGTATTTAAACATTTTAAGAACCTAGTCTTTGGAACACAGACCTTATTCCGCAGGATAATCCTGGGATTTCTGTAACTTAAACTCTCCTTAATGGGTTTTGTGTTGTTTCTGGGCATGTTTGCCTTTGAATCCACCTTTTGCCCTTTCTCTGGCTCAGTTAGCAGGAGGGAGATCTGACCCCTGAGGTTTCGTTTCCCAGAGAGCTGTCTCAGCTAGCTTGCAACTGGCTTCTGCCAGTGGGGGTTTGGGGATAAGTACCCTGGAAGGAGCCTATGAGATTGAGAAAAAGGTAGAAGTCAGGTTATTTTCCCAACATTCACTTTGCCTCCTGCACCTTCCCCAGCAGCAGCTGTATCTTTTCCCCACTCTGCCTCTCACGACTCAAGTTTGCCATAGTTCCAGTTCCCAGCAGGTAATCCAAGGCTCCTATGTTAGTTACAGAAGCATCCCCTTGTCCTGTCCTGTGTCCCTCCAGCCTAGGGTTAGCTACAACTTGCTCCTGTTACTAATTTCGGAGTTGAGCAACTCAGAGAAGAAATGGGTAATGAAAGAGACAAGAAGTGAGCCTTTGCTCTATTGGTTTCTTGTCTCTTTCATTACCCATTTCTTGCTTTAACTAAGCCCCTGCATTATAGTCCTTTACTCCAAATGAACCCTATTTTCCTAACTGAACCCTGATTGACCCAAGGTCTGACACAGGCCACTTGCCCATACTGGATTCTTGAGCAAACAACAGAAGTGCTCTTCTCTCTCCTGTACCCATCATGAAGATTCCAGAGATTTCTGGTTCATAAACACTAACAATCATGGTTCCCTTTACAGCTCTCCTCCTTTAGTTAAATGATGATTCTACCCTCAGTCTGCACCATATTCCTGAGATGTTGGCAGAGATAAAGTATTTTTCTGTGTTTCTGCTAACATTAGTGTCACAAGACACTCAGAAATTATACTTGATTATTAACCTTCTTCAGGCCACATCCCTCAAATTCACTGCAAGGAACTGATTTATAGGTGGTTAGTCTATCAAATGTTAGTGCCCTTTCTAGTAAGTCACAAAGAATGACAGGGTCTCCAGATCTATTTCCACAGAGGGGAATAGCAGGACTGAAGTATGGACCTGTTAGATATTATCATTCTAAAATTCGATTCCTTGTGCTTTTTTTTTTTTTCTTTTCTTTTCTTTTTTTTTTTTTTTTTTTTTTGAGGAAGGAAATCTGGGCCACAAAGCAAATTTGTATCTTAAAAGCTTAAATTAATCCTGTAAATATATTCTTAATCCAAAGCTGCCAAACTAGGGTTGTGTGTTCCATGAATTTGTTAAATTTATTTTGAATTTTGAATGTTGAAACATGCAATCTTGCTGAGTTTCTAAAAATAATATTTTATAATTTTTTTCACCATTTTTCTGTATACCCATCCTATTACACTGCTCCTTCTTCCCCACATGATCTTTTTTATTTTACTTTCTTTTGCTGTGTTATAAATTCTAAGCCAAGTAACTATCCTTGCAGGAGTATTCTCTGAACTCTCCCAGTCACTGTCTGGGGAGCATTGCTTTGTAGCTTCAATTTGTGCCTCCATAGAGCGTTTTATGAAATGGTTTACCTCTCTCTCTCTCAGTTTCACATAAGACTTGAAGTTCCATAAAGGAAGGACTGTTTTATCTTTGCATTCCTAGTGTCCACTAACTTCCCTGACACCTAGAAATCATTCAAATAATATTTGTTAAGCTCATTCTGAACAACACTGAAAGTTTCAAGGTCTCTCATGCTGGACAAATTTTAGTATTAGGATCTTCAAATAGATTTTTATTTTTAAATATTTTTAGAACTAGAAATATTTTACGAACATATAACAGACTTGTTATTTCAGAAGATGCCTAGTGTTTATACCCCGTCCATAGAAGTCATTACATCTTTGTTGAACGACATTGATACATAAGGTAAACAGGCACTTGAGAGGAACAGTAGCACTTTAACAAGTTTAGGACAAAGCTTTTCAACTCCTTATCTTGTTTACATTCTTTTTCACTAGAAATTGCATCCTCTCTCTGTGTTCGTCTTCCTAAATTTAAGCCCTTATTTTCAGTGTCCATCTAAATATATTCTCACTGACTCCACCATCAATTAAGTAAATGCCATGTCTCTAACTCATTTCCTTTAAAAAGGATGAGCTCAGCCATGCTCTGTTTATTCCATTTATAATAGCTCTCTTTGCACATTTTGGTCCATTGCCTCCGGTGTCATTTCTCATGCATCTGTTTATTCTACCCAATTAGACTCAGAGCTTTGCAGTCAAAGGTACTTTTTCTTTTATATCTCCTCACAGCATGTTCACAACATAGGCTTGTAAACTAAATGTCTTCTAGATTTCACCAATCTGTGCTGGTATGTTGTTTCTTGAAAATGAACACACTGATGTGCTCACTCTGTGCCCGTGGCTACATCCATGGGCATTTTGGTCACCCACACAGGACATAGCTCTGAGTGGTTCCTTTATTCTAGACCAGGGATTCTGGGAGTTAGGCTATGAAGCACAGGGAGTTCAAGTCCCCTATGCCACTTTTCTTTGAATCAAGTAATATCCCTAACCTATCTCTTCCCAGGGACTCACTATTGCCTTTCTAGTAGTTCCCATCATTAATAATTTGTTATCTGTCAAATAACCTGTTTGTTTCCTTCATAGCACTTGTGATGATTTGTAACTATATACACATGTAAAATATGTATAGAATAAGCACATAAAGTGTGTAAGTTTAAATTGTATATAAATATGTAAAATATATAGTAAATATAAAGTGGATGCATGTATATGTATAAGTAATACATACAAAAATCACATCATACATATGAGCGTACATATGTGTTTGTTTCATGTTTTCTTCTTTTTTTCACCACAGATTTTCTTCATCTCAACTCGCCTCACCACTACAGATCCAAGCCTGACACAGAGCCTAACAGAAGTAGGTATCATAAATATTTGTTAAATAAATAAAAGGTGAATGAATGTATCTATGACAGTGAAGATTTCTTTCCAATTATTAATTATATGAGATATTAAGTTTTACTGAACAAAAAGCGTAGAGAGGAGAGAACTAGAAACAGAGAAAAGCAAAAGAGCACATTTTCTTCTCTCCACTCCAAAATTTCATAGGTTTATAATCTGTCTTATCCTAGAAAGGGGCTCCCAGACTTCTCAGTTTGTTTTTACCTGGAGAAAGGAAAGGGGAAGTCAAGAAAATATCTGCTGTCCACTGTTGGTGCTACCCACCAATAAAATCTATAAATATTACAGTTAAAAAGCTAATGATTTCCAAGTAGTATAGCAAAAAACTGAATCAGGCATTCCTACATTTACTGTTACAACCTCCCACTTCTTTACCAGTACAATCTGGATATCTTTAGAACATATAGCATATGCACTTATTCCTCCTAAATAAAAAATTCGGATGACTAAACAAGAGTGGAACATAATTACTGGAGTAAGTATTGACTGTGGTGATTAATGACAAGCATTGTGAGCCAGAAGGCTTGGTTTCAAGTCCTGGTTCCACAATTTTCTAGCTGTGAGATTTTGGACAAGATATGTAATCTTACTTTGCCTCTGTTTTTTCAATTGTAAAATGAATATCATAATAGTTCAGGTTGAGCAGACCTAATCCCAAGTCCCAAATTCTCCAAAATCTGAAACCTTTTGAGCACCATATAATGCCACAAGAGGAAAATTTCACACCTGACCTCATGTGACGAGTTGCAGTCAAAATGCAGGTGCAAAACACACAGTTTATTCAGCATCCCCAAGACGAAAATAAAACTACCTTCAGGTTATGAATATAAAATGTACATAAAACATAAATAAATTTCATGTTTAGACTTGGGTTCCATCCCCAAGATATCTCATTATGTAGCAAATATCTATGATAGCAAATATTACAAAATCTAAAAAAAAAAAAGTTGAAATCCAAAACACCTCTGCTCCCATGCACTCCAAATAAGGTATGTTCCCCCTGTACCTAAGTCATAGGCTTTGTTTTAGCATTAAATCACTTAGAGCACTTAAAACCCTTAGAATAATGTCTAGCACATAGGAAATAATACATGTTTATCAATCATATTCTTATTATTTGTATTATTATTTCTGTCACCATTTCCAAATTAAGACAGCTTCACTTCCAATACAGAATGGTTGAATTTCCATTAAGACTAAGCAAGGAAAACAGAGAGAATGTACACATTGGAAATAGTAAGAAGGAAAAGAGAATAGAGCCAGAGATGCCTTAGAAATATAAAACAGCACAGTAGAAAGTCAGGATTCTCAGATATTGTTATGTCCTGTTAATAAAGTTTTTCTTTTTAATTCTTACCCCCATTAGAAAACCTTTCCTCATACACCTTCTAGACACTTAATGATGATAATTACTCTTATTTTATCTTCTTTGGTCTAAAAAATTTGGAGAACAATGTATCACAATGTACTTTTTAGTACCCCCAGCCTTGCTAAGGAATTTTAACTGATTTAACTCTATGATTTTCAAATGTGTTCATTCAAGAGTTGTTCATAGTCCCCATAGTTGTTTAAATTCTTGGCCTAATTTTTTTTTTAAAAAGGGGGCATTAAGTTTTTCATATATTTGACTGTATGGCATAAGATAATAACATCGTTAACCCTTAAAAAGAGAGACCTTTCCCATCTGACTGTGCTTATTCACTTATTTATCTTTTACGAATTTATGTTTATATTTAAATTAACAAATATTTAGATTCTATTATGTGCCAGCCCTGCACTAGACATCTGATTAAAGGAAAAAAAGCATTTTTTTAAGAAAAGCAGTGAACAGGGCATGACAGACAAAGTATCTGCTTGCATGAAGCCTAGAATCTAGAGAGAGTTTGGAACAATAAACAAAACACATAATATTTAAGTTACAAACTGAAATCATTGTTATGCCAGAAATAACTGGAAAGCAGGAGAGAAAATAATGGGGACGAGAGGTGGGGAGGTTGAGGGAAATTTTAGGCCAGTTACATAAGGCCTCTCTGAGGAAATGACATTTAAGCAACACCTGAAGATAGAAAAGGAACCAGTCACTCAAATTGTTGGAAGAGCTGCATAATGCAGGCAGAAAGAATAGCAGTGCAGAGACCCTGCTATGGAAAAGAGCATGCACGAGTCATTGAGCTTGTAGCTGGACACTGATGAGCAGCTGGGACTTGGAGGGAGAATTACAGGTCTGACGATGCAGGGTTTTTCTAATTTGGATATTCTCAGGGTGGAACAGGGTACTGTTACAAGGTACCTAAGCAAAGAGCTAGCATGATCTCTACATGTTTCAAAAGATAACCCTGGTTGCTGTATGAAGAACCTATGGAAAGGAGATAAGAGTAAAATAAGAAGACAACTTAGCAGAACATTAGAGTAATCCAAACAAGAAACGTATGTAACTTAGTCTTGAGTGTTCGTAATGTAGCTATCGATAACTGGATATGAGAGACAAGCAGGAAGTAGAAATGACAGAATTTCGTGATGGTTTGGATTGGAAATGGAGGAACTGTGTATGATCCTTAAGTTTCTGCCTCAAGTCGTAGATGATAGTTCTATTTACTAAGAAAGAAAAAGTGTTGAAGTACCAGTTCTATCTTAATTAGGTTAATTTCATGATATTTATGTGACACCCCAGTGGAGATAATAAATAGGCGTCGGATTATACTGATTTTTACAGATGTGACGCTGTTATATAAATGAGCCAAAGATGGTCTCTGTGTATTGGCCCCCAGGTTGTTACTTCCTCAATATAGGCTGACACCCACTAGCCCAAAAGCCCACCAGGGGATCAAATCAAATGTTTACACACGCATTTATTTTTAAAATAGGCTACATAAGCAGATTTTTAGCCATTTAAAATCTGACTGTTTTGCATATGCCACAAAACCTCACCCCACAGCTGCTAGCAGTAGATAAATCTCATGGGTTATGAAGACCCAAGCCACTGCTGCCCTTTGGAGCTCTTTGACCTGGACTCCTCAGCATGCCACTGAGCAACATTGCCTTGACACATAAGCCCCCTCTCTCCTAGGAGTTTCCTTGCATTCCTTCCTTTCTGAGTGCTGACCCTGACCCTTAGCTACTAGACAAACTCCCGCTGTGAAGGACTTCCTCCACAAGAGAAACTGTCAAAGTAGCCCCCGGTAAAGCTACTGCCACCTTGTGGTCGTATTTTTTTCCCCTTACCACAAAATGACCTACAAAAACTCAGAAAAATATACCCTGGGCCGGGCGCAGTGGCTCAAGCCTGTAATCCCAGCACTTTGGGAGGCCGAGACGGGCGGATCACGAGGTCAGGAGATCGAGACCATCCTGGCTAACCCGGTGAAACCCCGTCTCTACTAAAAAATACAAAAAACAAAAAACAAAAACAAAAACAAAAAAATAGCCGGGCGAGGTGGCGGGCGCCTGTAGTCCCAGCTACTCGGGAGGCCGAGGCAGGAGAATGGCGTAAACCCGGGAGGCGGAGCTTGCAGTGAGCTGAGATGGGGCCACTGCACTCCAGCCTGGGCGACAGAGCGAGACTCCGTCTCAAAAAAAAAAAAAAAAAGAAAGGAAAGAAAGAAAAGAAAAGGAAGAAAAAAAGAAGGAAGGAAGGAAGGAAGGAAGGAAGGAAGGAAAAATATATACCCTGGAGATACCTATCTGGATGGAAATAATTAGCATAGGGATGGAAATATTTAGCATAGAGATGGAAGGTCAAAGGAATCAATGATACTACTTCAGGAAGAGTGCCTGAAAATAAGGTAGGAAGGCTCGACTAAATCTGATGCATTACCAAATTTGAGATCCAGTAAAGAGGAAAAACACAAATATTACCACTTGATCAATTTCTATTCATATTATTTTACTCAGGCCACACATTGGCTTCTTTGAGATAAAACTGTCTCCTTCCCTCCCCAGTCAGGATGGTTAGAATGACAGCCTTGTTTTCTGTTTCTACAGCTTTTCTATATAATTGCTTCACCACATATTATTGAAAGTGTCTGACTATTTGTCTGTCTTCATATGGTGCTGTCCTTGGAGGCAGAACATGTATTCATCTCTAAATTCCAGGAATCTAGCACAGCACCTGACACACAGGGCGAAATAAATATTTTCTGAATGAATAGGCAATCTGAACATATTAAAATAGCTGTGGAAAAGGCTCATGATGATGATGCAGTGATAGAGGACTTCAAATGGCTGGGGAAGGTTAGGATACTTTTCGTTTTCATGATGATGGTTTTACTATCCATTCTTTCTTCTCAATCTGAAGTTGGATTCTAGCCTTATCTAAACAAAGACGTTAGGATATTGAGCTCACATGTATTGTCCCACAGGAATAATATAGGGAGAAAATGAAATAATATAAAAATATCTCAAGCAATTAGCAAGGCACCTAGTTTCATAAAAACTCAAGATGGCATAATTGAGGGCTAGTGTAAATTTTATCTTATAATATTATTATATTAATTTGGTTGTGCTTTCTTAAAAGAAATTTAAAATAAAAGAAAAAATAGGATTTTAGGTCAACTTATGTAAGATCTGAATCTGAGATGATTTTTCTGTTCCTTATTAGAAGCCCCCTTTGTGATATCAGTGCTGTTATTATTTTACTTTTATTTAAGGGAGCAAGGCTGGTCCAAGCATGTTATGACTTAGGTCATTGCTTCCACCTATTTTTTGCTAAGATACTTGTTCATAGTTCATAATTTGGCCATTAAAAACCAAAACTAATATTGTGAAGTCTTTGACATCTACATAATAGCATTTACTGATTAAGGTAGAATAAGAATAAGAGTTAATAAGTACTTCATAGCAAAAATAAATAGTTGGAATGCATAAAAGATCATGGAGGCTAATTGAGTGATATCAACATATCCACAAAAGATCTCTGGACAAATGATGGTACAATATCCTCTACTTCTTTAACTATGA